AATTCTCAAGAAGACTTTGGTTGCGGTCATTGTGGATTGGTAATAAGGATCGACAAATTTGCTGTGGTTGTCAACAGGGTTGATCAGGCTGTTTGTGATTGTATGTAATCGGTGGTGTCGTAACCGGTAAAAAATAAGAGAGTCGCCACCATAACTACTTTTTGTCCTAAGGACGGGAAAAGAACGAAAAATCCTAATTGTTTCAGAAATTAATAGATTCGCGAGTTAATTAGATAAATGAAATGTGTTAGGCACCCTTTATCTCCCTTGTACTCAAGGAGATCATTTTTAGATCTAGGACTTGGATGAAATTACTTCTTTATTTAATCATATTATCATATATAAAACAAGAGAATATTTAGTTTTCTAGTTAGTGAATTTGCCTTGGTTTTTCAACTGTATGCCTACGTATCCTCTTGCGAAGAAATCAGAGTCCTTCGTAATTCGAAGTGTTTGGTTAGTATTTTTTATAGAATTGTATTAAGTTTCTTTCGAATGATTTGAACCTGCATGAGTTTGAAAGTTGAAGATGGTAGGTGAAGTTTTGTATTCATTGTAGAAAGCAACTGGACAATCGTTTATTGAAAATATCTTGGATTTAATTATGTTAGTGAAAAATGTTTTTGGTTGGTTAGCTATTTTAAGTTTGGTTGATTGATTAATAAAGAGTTGATCTTTATTAGATTAAATCGTGTGGAGCAAAGAAATTGATTTGTTGATAAAAAGTTGATTTTTATTAAAATTAAATCGAGCGACGCGAAGAAATTGATTTGATGTGTTGAAAGAATTTAAATATTTTGATTTGAATAGTTAACTAATAAGGCGTTGAGCTAACCAATCAATTATTCAAAGATTTGATGGATGTAGAATTCACTCTTCCTATTATTTATAAAAATATTAAAATTAGTTTAATTTGTAAAAAGTTTGATTTTATGCAAGGTTAACAATTATTTACAAGCTAGTGTGAAACTTCTTTAAATTTAATCAAGAGACTTATGCCACGTACAAAAAAATAAAGACATATTTTTGTATCTTCTCAGTATCAACCTAAATTAGTAACCTAAACCTAATAAATTAATCTAAGTAACTAATTTGCTAAATAACTAACCAAAGTTAAATTGTCTTAGTCAAGCTAAAAACCTAACGAAAAAGGGATATATCTTTGTTTTATTTTTTTTAATTCTATAACCTACATAAAACTAATTAAATAAGAAGTTAATTATAATAGATAATTGGATTGGAGTTGCAAAAGAGAATTATGGAGTATGAACCTAATAAAATAGTAGAAACTTAATTAGGCCTAAAGCCCAGTATAATACCAAGCTAGCCCTAATTTTTAACAACATTAATAAGTAATAATATTTCATCCGTTCCTTTTTAATTGATGTTTTAGTCAAAAGCTCTCCAACTAAGATACATGAATTGCTATAATTTTTTTTCCATTCTACCCTCATTCTCTTTTCAAATAAAACTCATTAAATTATTTAATTCAAATAATTAATTCCATATTTTGGGGCACACAACTCTCTCTCTTCCGTAACTACTCCTAAATTTTTGGAATTAATCTTGCATGCTATAAGAATATGTACTGATGTTTCATTAAATATTTACTTTTACTATAAAAATATTTATTGCTTATTGTTTCAATGAATGGCTAAAGGAAAACTTAAGTTTTCCACCGTAAAAATACTTATTCCCTCCAATTATTTTAATAAAAACGTAAGTTTCCCACCATAAAATTAAAAGCAATGATGAGGTTGAACCAATAATAAAAGGAGTAGTATATATAATATGGTTTCATATTATAAGTTCAAAATATTTACATCTCATCAAATATGGCTTTAGAGGAGGTTGAAGCAACTAATGACATTGATGAGTCCTATGAAGATAATTTACAAGAGGAGGTTGAAGGAAACAATGACATTGGTATATTTTTTATTTCATGTGTGTTTGTTTTTTATGTGGTGGTTTCTATACTTAAATTCACAGTGATATTTCATGTGTGTTTATTTTTTATGTGGTTGTTTCTAGTAATTTTATTATTTTTTTTAAAAAAATTATAGTGTATGTTGCAGAAAATTTTGAAGCAGAATCTAGAGAAAGAAAGAAATTAAGAGTCTTAAGCAATGAAGAACGCATGTCTATTTATCATGAGCTACTACAAAAAAGCGTTGATGGACAATTACGTAAAGGAGCTACAAATGAGGTGGCTTCATCAAATTCGGTTCCTATAAGAACTGTTCAACGTATTTGGAAAAGAGCAAAAGAAAGTGAAACGCGTGATGTCTCTCATAGGAAGATAAAAAATTGTGGACGTACGAGAATTTCAATTGATGAGAATCAAATTCGTGAACTTCCTTTCAGTCAAAGAACAAACATTCGATCTTTAGCTTTTGGGTTGAAAACCAATCCAACATCGGTGTTCAGGCTTATAAAATCAGGGCTTATACGGCGTAATTCAAATGCCATAAAACCATTATTAAAAGAAGAAAACAAAATATCTAGGCTGGAATTTTGTTTATCAATGCTTGAAGGTACACCACATGATCCAATGTTTAAAAGCATGCACAATATTATTCATATTGATGAAAAATGGTTTTATATGACTAAAAAATCCGAGAAGTATTATTTGCTCCCAGATGAAGATGAGCCATATCGAACATGTAAGAGCAAAAATTTCATTGCCAAAGTTATGTTCTTAGTTGCTCAAACTCGGCCACGATTTGACGCAGGAGAAAATGAAACTTTTTCGGGTAAAATTGGTGTTTTCCCGTTTGTTACCCATGAACCGGCTCAAAGGTCAAGTATTAACAGAGTTGCAGGAACAATGGTAACAAAAGCAATAACTTCGGTTAAGAGAGATGTGGTAAGATCATTCCTTATTGACAAAGTCCTACCGGCTATAAGAGAAAAATGGCCAAGAGATGACTTGAAGTCAATAATATTTATTCAGCAGGATAACGCAAGGACACATATAAACCATAATGATCCTTTATTCTGTGAGGCTGCTACCAAGGATGGGTTTGATATTCGTTTAATGTGTCAGCCTGCAAACTCTCCAGATTTAAATATCTTAGATCTTGGGTTTTTCTCGGCTATACAATCATTGCAATACAAGGAAGCACCAAAAACTATTGATCAACTTATCGATGCAGTGGTGAAGTCATTTGAAAATTTTCCTTCAATTATGTCCAATCGTATATTTGTATCATTGCAATTATGCATGGTAGAGATCATGAAAGTGACAGGTTCCAATAAATATAAAATTCCTCATATAAATAAGGAAAGGCTGGAAAGAATAGGACAACTACCAATTCAAATTAAGTGTGATCCAATATTAATACAAGAAGTCAAGAATTACTTAAACATGGAGTAACACTTATTGTAAGTGGGAGTAGTCACATTTGAGATTTTCAAATAGAGTTTTTTTTTTAAGTTTATGGATTGTACTCCTAAAATTTAGTTTATGGAGTAACAAATTTAGTTACAGTAACTTTTGCCATAAATATAGTTTATGGATGTAGTCACTTTTATTATATGTATTGTGCGTGAGAATTAAGTTTATATTTTCCTAAATTTTTGCCATAAAAAGTTACAGTAACTTCCTAAACTTTAGCAAATCTCTTGCACGTAACTTCCTAAACTTTTGCCATGATTTTTTTTAATGTATCAATAAAAAAACAATAAGAATGAACTTAAGAAATGCATTCCTAAATTGTAGCAATAACAAGGAATTCTTCTCCATACTTATTTTATAAAAAAAAATACCAATAATAAGGACTTCTTAAATAACAACTCCTACAACTTATGCACTTAAGCCAAATCTAAAATGAGATACTCCATACTTAGTCCACAAATATTTTTCAGTAAAATTTTGGAAGAAGTTTTTTTATCATCTTTTTTATCACAGGTCGAAACTCAGTATGGTGGGAAGATTCTTCTCCGTTTTTTTCTCCTTCTTCTTCTTCGTCTTCTTCAGGAAATTTGTTCAAATCAAATTCATAATCTGCCTCTTCATTTAAATCAAAATCCAGTACAACTCTTGATAATACTTCTTCTTCTTCGTTGTCATCTTGTTCTTGAATCTTGTCAAAAGAGTCTTCCACGATTTCCCCTTCTTCTTGCTCCAATGACTCTTCCACTCTTTCTTCTTTTTGAAGATCCATGGAGTCTTTTGTTGTTCCACCACAACTCTTTTGTTTTGTACGGGATAATTTAAACAATGGTACTAATCCTTTTTATAGAATTATTAGTCTTCAATTGAAAAATTTGTTCCTTTGACAAAATTTAATGCTAAACATTTTTCTATGTAATATTGGAATATAATTTGAAGTGAGTGTGATGTGAGTTATTACATATATTAAATTTTCATGGGAATAGGAATACGTATTAAGAAAGAGAATTTTATGGAAAATGTGAAGTGAGTTATTACATATATTAAGAAAGGAAAATTTTATAAAATATAAAGTGGACTTATTTAAAAAGTAAGGGTATAATTGGTAAATTGTAACCTTAAAACATCAAAACGACACTTAAATAGGAACAAAAAAAAACTTCTAAAACGACACTTAAAAAGAAACGGAGGGAGTAATAATTAAAAAAATGGAAGAGAAAGAAGCTACATTAATAAGTAATAATAATTATAAAAAAAAATGGAAGAAAAAGAAGCTAACGGGGAAGGTGTCGGTTTCTTGAGCTTGTCAAAATTAAAATGAATAGGAGAAAATAAATAATAATTTTGACCTTTTAAATGTCGATGCTTGTGGCAATTATTTTAAAAACATAATAAGAGAAAAAACCAAAAAATGACTAGCATATTAAGACCTGAAATAAAAAATAGATCTCTCTCTTTATCATATCTTTACCTTCTTTCCATCTCCTTCTCTTACAAATATATACCACTCAAACAAAATCAACGATCAACACATAAATAATCACAATCGGAAGGAAGCAAAAGGAAAAAGAACATAATCGAAATTTCAATTCGACGTTGTGGATGCATGGATGACAGAGGCGGCTTTGTGCGGTGGAGGTTTGGGCGTGAGCATCAAATGTTAGTGCGGTTGAAGATTTGGATTGCGTCCGCCAGTGAGGAACTCATGAGTGTTATGTTGCATGAATCGTGGACGGCGTGGGTTGGAGATGGCCAAAGTCGTGGAGATAAATTTCGAGCAGAGGGGCTGGAGCAAATCGGAGGGACGACATCACAGAGGGCGGTGGTTGAGATACTGTTGATAATAGGTGGTGGTGCTGCTAAACTAAAGAGATTTATAAAACCAATTTGAAAAATTATTTGACTCTAGAAAATAAGACGTGCAAATTTGGGGTATGACAGATGGATTATAGTGGATTAAGTCCTTGTGGATAAAGCAAATCACCTTACAGGTGGACTGGAGTAACTTAGTTAACAATGAACCAAGATAAAAATAATTGTATTCATTTATTTTTATTCACTTTTTAGCTTTTGTGTTTGAGTTGCGAAAAGTTTTTAGTTAGTGCAACCCAGTTCAAACCCCCTTTATGGTGTTTCTCGAACCTTCAATTGGTATCAGAGTCTGGTTCTGATATTGATTATTATCAAGCACTTAACCGTGTCAGATAAAGATCCCGTTGAGTTTTAGAAACACTATGATTGATCCTACACCGCCACCACGACTCTAATTTCAAATGATAAAGATAGCTACAATGCTAAACTTCTCATTTTTTATGGTGAAAAGTTTAAATATTGGAAAGGATAGACTAGAAAGTTTCTTTCTAGGTCATGATGTTGATCTTTTGGATATGGTAGTGGATGGCTACGATCCTCCCACAAATACTATTGGAAATAAGTTTGGAAGAAGAGCTATGAGTGGTCAACAAAAAAAGGATTGTAAGAATTATCATAAAGCAAGAATATCTTGTTGAATGTTATTTCTTATACTGAGTATGAGAAGATCACAAATAGATACTTAGTTAAGTTTATATTTGACTCTCTCAGAATGACTCATGAAGAAAATAATCAAGTCAAGGAGACCAAGGCTCCGACCTTGATTCAGAAGTATGAAGCCTTCAAGATGGAGGACGATGAAACAATTGAGACTATGTTCTCAAGGTTTCAAATCTTAGTTGTAGGACTGAGAGTTCTGAACAAAGGATATTCAATGTCAAATCACGTGAAGAAGATTATCAAAACCTTGGCATCCAAATGAAGGCCTATGATAACTGCACTTAAGCTTGCAAAGGATCTGAACTCAAAATTATCAATTTCCATCAATACATCTTCAACTATCTCATATGACTGCTTGATGGTGTGATCATCAAATTTTAATTTTATCCCACTCTCGCTTGTATTTTCAATACCAAGCTTTTTGAAGATAGACAAGGGAATTAAGCTCACACTAGAACTAGAATCAATTAGAACCCTCTTGAATGTTCTGTCTTTTGTAGTGCATTGTATTGCAACTGATCCACGATCCTTTTCTTGATTTGGATTCTCCTCTCTGGCGAGATTTCATACAATTTCTTATCACCAGATATCAATCCATCTCTTATTGGTCTCTTTTTAGATAGTACCCTTCATGAATTTTTGGTACATGAGTATTTTCTCGAGAGCTTCAAAGAACGACATGTTGATTTCTAACTTTTTGAACACTGTGACAAATTTCTCAAAGTCTTTCTCTTTTGGGTCCTCCTTTGCTACTCGAGAGGGATACGCCAACTTAATCATCAGTTTAGCCTCCTTTTTAATTTTTCTCCAGTTGGCTTCACGTGTGGTTAACTTCTTCCAGCTTTTTCTTATTTTCTCTCACTTCCAGATCTACCTCTATGACATAGTGATCATCTGATACCTTCTCTTCTTCACCTTATGACTTCTTGTTGTGACAACATTAACATTCTCATGACTTTTCTGATTACCTTGTGCTTGCAGAGATAGCTAATGTGCTATTTGTCCCACTTGAACTTCCAAATTCTTGATTGAAGTTTTGGTGTTGCCGTGGTTTCTCCTTGTCTCTTCTTGAAATTGAGAATTGTAGGCAGCCATCTTTTCAATAGCTACTTCCCACTTTGCCTTATGAGGAGCTTGTTGTTGTTGTTCTTTTCAGGAGAAGTTTGGATGATTCTTCCACCCTGAATTATAGGTGTTTGAATACGAATTATTCTGCTTCAAGAACTTGATCTATTCGTTTTTTTGTGGAGTTGCAAGACAATGCATAATAATGTGTGGTCCACTACAAATTTCACAAATAACATTTTGTGCCTACTGAACCTGAGCTACCTATTTAGTACCTATGTTCATATCCTTCAGCTTTTTCTCTACTTTTGCAGTAATTTTCTCTTTAATTATGATTTGTTTGTTGGTTTCCAACTTCAAATCAATCACTCCCTTTGGTTTACTTACAACCCTATCATACAACTCCAAATGCTCGTTTGCAGCAATTGCTTCAATTATCTTCTTAATATCAGTGGCTGTTGAAAAATTAGATGAGCCACCAGCTGTTGTGTCAATTAACTGCTTAGTCTTGATTCTTAGACCATTAACAAACATATGCATATGTTCAGTTTGATCTAGATTATAAGTAAGACAAGTCACTAGAATTCTTTTGAATCTTTGATAAGCATCTCCTAGTGACTCACCCTCTTTCTGCTTGAAGTTGAGGGTTTCATACCTTTTTTCATGAAAAATGATGCTGGTAAGTACTCATTCAAGAAAGAATTTTCCATCTCTTCCCAAGAAGTAATACTACCAATCGGCAATGAATAAAACCACTCTTCAGCTTCATCTGCTAAAGTGAACGGAAATATTCTCAACTTCTTCGCTTCATCGGTGTGACCTGATATCAATCTTCAACGTTATGGTCATGGTCAGAAACCTTTGTAAGTGCTTATTAGTGTCTTTATATACCCTTCCAGAGAATGACATCCTCTCGAGTTGAGTGATCGTGCTCGGATGCAGTTGAAAATTTGGCACATTCACCGGTTGGTCATAATTATCAATCTATCAGCCGGTACATTTGTCCCACCATAGTCACCAAGGAGCCTCTCAGGTGTTGGTGGATTTTATCCCATTGGTATTTCCTTTTATGATTCCAACTCTGACTCTATATGAACTGAATGGTCTTCGTCAGAGGTCAGTCTGGCTAATCGAGCTTGTCTACGCCTGGCGTGAAATGCTTTTTCGATTTTTGCATCAAAAATAAATTCAGCTGAGGGCTTTCCTCTTATACAAAGATTAGACAAAAAATCAGTAATAACAAAAATATAAAAATAACAAAATAAAATTTTAGTTACAAAGAAACAAAATTCTAATTAAACTCAAATTAAACTCTATATTTTGGTAGTCCCCAGTGACGACGCCAAAAACTTTATCGGAAAAATAGCAAGTGTACTAATTTTCCAATGTAGTAATAATGGGAAATCCCAAAGTATCAATCTTAGGGACCGCGTATAAGTATCAATTTCAATTCTTGGTTCAATTAAACAAAAACTTAACTTGGGGTTTTGTTTGGAAATTGTCACTTAATGATAAGTGAAATGAAGCAGAAATATAAATTGGCTTTTTCACAGATATGAGGAACATGATAGGGTAAAGTGTATAATTTTCCCTATAATAACCTTGAATCCTGATTTCTTCAACAAGTTCAAAATACTCAATTACCAGATCTTTAGTTTATTTTCCCCTAAGTCCTTAGTGGGAAAACCGTTGAACATTCATCCTAAATCTTAAGTCCGTAGAGAATTATGATGAAATCAAACCTTTGTTTTATCAAGATTTAACTGGTAACTATAGGATATACCTAGTCCTAGGTGATATCTACTATATTCTAATAGTACAAAAACCTTAACAAACTCAATCCAACTAATTGTTAACTGTAAATCGATCCTTGTTGGTCCGACAAAGAAAGGAATAAAAACCTTGTACGATCAAATTGAATATGAAAAATAAATAAATTGTTGAAACTAGGAATTCAAAGTCACCAAGGAGTACAAGTGCATAAATAAAATTTGATAATGTACTTCATTATAGCAAATAGACTACTTCGAAAATTCGAATATGTGAACATCAGGCACATTCCTAGACTGAAGAGCCAGAAGCCAATGACCTGGCCCAAAATGCCTCAGGATACAAAGTATCAAAAGAAAATTTGAAGGATTTGATTGAAGTTTGAGGAAAAGTATTGGCTACCAAACTCTTTCCATCAGATTTAGAAAACTCAAGTTTGGGATATGCAAGCGAAGAAAGTTTCGAAGTATTGGCCATTAATAGTTTATCAGATACAGATTGGAGGAGTCCGATAATAGAGTACTTGAAAAATCCAACAACATGTAGAAATAAAAGTTAAGTATCGTGCGCCTAGCTATGTTTTAATGGGCAATGAACTATTCAAGAAAACACCAGAAGGAATCTTACTCAAATGTTTAGGAGAAAGTGAAGCCTACTTGGCATTATTGAATGTGCACGGTGGGGCGTGTAGAGCACATCAAGCAGGTCACAAGATGAAATTGCTTTTGTTTCTACATGGCATATATTGGCCACCATATTAAAAGACTGTATAGAATTTGCTAAGGGATGCCAAGAATGCCAAATTCATGGAGGCATTCAACATGCTTTTATAAGTGAGCTGTATTCCATAATCAAACCATGGCCCTTCTAAGGTTGGGCACTGGATTTAGTTGGAGAAATTCGACCAGCCTCATCCAAAGGTCAGAGGTACATTTTAGTGGGAATCCATTATTTTACAAAATAGATTGAGGTAATACCTTTGGTGAATGTTGACCAAGAAACTGCTATTGAATTCATCCAAATACATATAATTATAGGTTTGGGATCCCAGAGACCATTACAACTGATCAAGGATCAGTCTTCACTGGTCGAAAGATGCAGGAATTTGCCAAAGAAGTGGGGTTCAAATTATTAACTTCTACACCTTATTATGCCCAGTCAAATGGACAAGTTGAGGCTGCAAACAAAGTAAGTATTGGATTAATAAAAAGACATGTGGGAAGAAATCAAAAAAATTGGCACAAGACTTTGGGTCAAGATTTATAGGCTTGTTGAACGTCTCCCAAAGAAGCAACCAATACTATGCCATTTAGTTTGACCTTTGGGCATGACGCAGTTCTTCCAGTAGAAATATATTTGCAGTCAGTAAGAATCCAGAGGCAAAATGAAATCCCCTTAGACTATTATTGGGAAATGATGATGAACGAACTAGTTGACTTGGATGAAGAATGTTTGCATGCTTTGCAAATTCTAAGGAGACAAAAAGATAGAGTAGATAAAGCTTACAATAAAAGAGTCAAGGGC